ATTTTCACAATTCACTTTTTTTTTCTATAGAGTGCTCGACAGGAATTAAATTTTCCAGGTGCGTATACTATCTATCTCTCTGTCCTTTCCAATTTGTTCATATCTATCTATCTATCGCAATTCAGTCTTAGATGATCAATTTTCTCAGTTTCTATCTCTGAATATCTATATCAGAGCATCTTACAAATAAATTTTAAAAAAATTTAAAACATTGACAATCTGAGGAGCCACTCAAGGTAAAGTGGTACTGAATGACGTATGTTAAATGAATATTGTTGGAAGTAAGAAGTTAAAATTCTGAGGATGTGGAGGATAGATAACGATTGATATTTGACTTGCGGGGTTTGAGATTGTAGTTTTTGTTTTCTTATTTTAACCGGGAGTCCGTTCTTTTAAATAAAGCGGTTCTTGGGAATTTTATTTGAAAAAACTTCATTCTTTCCTTAAAACATATTTGGGGGAGTGAGCTTCGACTCTGTGGGTTTTGCATGGCGGCTTATAGCAGTAAACGTATAAATACAATTTCATAACAAAAAAATACGAAGAAAATATAATAAAAAAAATCCGTTTAACTTTTCATTTAAAGGTAAATAGAGGGGATGTTTTTTATATTTTAACACCAATGCCATTTCGATTATGACAGCTTAAAAAGCGAAATCTTTTTCAACGAATTTGATACGATTTTTTGCATAGCTTTCCAACGAGAATGTTTTTCATATTTGTGCACAGTAAGAAATGACCGTTATATAACAGTTGTTGGGCCGTAGAATTGCATTCACAAATCCCAAGTTTCGCCAAAAGAAGCCTGTTTTATCGATGCAGAAAATTTCAGGAAATTTTTATCATATTGATTTTCTGGCTGTTCTTACATCCGCGGAAATAATTAATTTGAATTTAAAAAACATCTATCTATTAGTAATTTATTTAATTTCTATTATTTTTCATTATCTATCTGCCATTCAATCTCTTTTATCTATGTCGATTTTATATTTTCAATCTATCTATCAAAGTCTGTTTATATCATATTCTATCTATCTATTTTTCTTCATTGTTTATGTGTATCTATCTATCATAGTCTATATATATCTATCTATCTAATTATCTATCTATAAAATCGTTAAATGACATTTTTCTTAAACACTGATTAATATTTTTAAGTTTTTATCCAACGATGAGCCGATTCGTTGCATCTGAATTGATTGACAGGTTTTCGGAGCCACACAATTCATCACGAAATGCATTCCGTCACAAAAAAAAACATGAAAATAAAAGAAAAAAGAAGATGTCTCTTGTTACTGAGCTGCGCAGTCGCACTGGCATATCCAGGATTTGCAGGTGAGTTCAGTTTCATGAGATCGCGCGCCCAATACCGACACTCGACCAAAGAAAGGCAGCTCACGTATTATTGAATTAAACGCAACACAGTATGCGAAACTCCGCAGATATGAAAAAACAGAAGGAAACAAATAAAAAAAGCAGACATGGTTTGTTCATTTAAAGAGTTGCATTAAAATTTATATATAGAAAAAACCATCGTAGGAAAGGAAATCTTCTTGTGAAGAAACTTAAAAAATTCTAGTTATCTTTGTTCATATTAAACAAGATTGAAATATATATATATATATATATATATATATATATATATATATATATATATTTTTACAATAAATATTTTATGTTTATACATTCTTCATATTAGAAACAAATATTTAAGTAAATGCTCTTGTTTATAATAAACAATATAAAACAATTTTCCGGCCTGAATGTCCGAAAAATTTTCATAGAAAATATTCGTCCTCCGAGTAAATATAAACCTGTATTTCTATAAAGCAACCGTCATATAGCCAATTTGTTTTTCGATTGGGTCAAGAGGATCGTTTGGGTTAGCATTATTTGATCACTATTTATAAATTGACGTCTAAATGAAAAAATCACTGAAATGACAATTTTTATTAACTGATATATTTAAAAAAAATTACAAAAAAATATTTGAAATATTACAGAATAAATTGATTCAATAATTTCGTCGGCCAAAAATTTAAATACGGGCCTCCAGTGTAATGTTTATATTTTTTCCTACGATCTTCTTTTTAAAACGGTCTGATTGTTAAATTGGCGTATGCTGGCATAATTTTTTGCATTTAGTTCATAAACTTTTTTATTATAGGAACAAAATTACCCTCCAAAACGATGTTAAATTAAAGCATAATAAGTCATTGGGATTTACAGTTCTTTGAAAAGTTGGCCACATAAAAGTTTTTTGTGCCAGAAAATTTCTAAATTTAGTTGTTGATTCTAAAAAGTAAAAGTACATATATATATATATATATATATATATATATATATTTATTTGAAAACTGCATGTGTATTTGAGTTTGTATTTTACAAAAAGTTAACACATGCAAAAATTTCATTTCTTTCATTTTCGGTTTTGTCTGTGATAAATCTTCCTTAAATATGGAAAAACATTATAAAATCAGTATATTTATAAACAAATGACTTTCATAAACGTTTTACTATTTGTCAAAAAATTTAAAAGACTATGTTTTATTAAGATAATTTTAAAAAAATATGTATATATATATATATATATTTAATTATATACTACATTATAATAAATATATATTATATTATATATATATATATATATATATATATATATATATATATATATATATATATATAAAGAGAAGAGAATAAGCGATAGATATAGATATATATAAAATAAAAATAATTCCTGACATTGGGCTCTTTTAAGACTACTTTTTATGATTACTTGTTCTTTTTTATGATATAATATATATATATATATATATATATATATATATATATATATATATATATATATATATATATAAACAAATTGAAATTTGAAAAAAAAAAAATAAATGTTTCTTTTTGATTTTAAAAAATTTAATTGAATTGAAAAAGAAAATATTTTAAATAAGATATATATTTTTATATATATATATATATATATATATATATATATATATATATATATATATATATATATATATATATATATATATATATATATATATATATATATATATATATATATAATATTTGATTTTTAACTTTTTATGGGTTCATGTGAAAAGATTTATTTCCTTAGAACCACGATTTTGGAAAAGAATCAAAAGATCTCCATTTTATTTACCCTGAAGAATTAAATTAAAATCCCGGTTCTAACAAAATCAATAATTTGATGACATTGAAATGAAAAAATGAATATATTTAAAATATAATATATATTTAATATTTTTTTACATTGAGTTCTCTGGATTACATCCTACTTGGAAATTATAGATAAATAATAAAATATATTCATTAATAAAATAAAATATTTGATATAATTCATTAAAAAATAAATTATTAAATAAATATTAAATATAAATTTAAAACTGAATTAAATAATAAATAATTGTTAAATAATAAAATAAATAAAGAAATTAAATATAAATTAAATAAAATAAAATTTTTTAATTAAAAAAAAACAATAATAAATAAGAAAAATACATTGAACTCTTTTTGTAAGCAATAAGTTTTAAATATTTTATATTGATGATTCTGATATTTTTAAATTATTTTACTAACAATTATATAAATTTATATATATATATATATATTACATTATATTCACAAAATAATATATATATATCATATATATATATATATATAATATATAAAGATTTATGCGAATTTAAAATTATATAGAAAATATCCTCTTTGTGCTTCAGTTTACGAAATATAATTCTTGTTATAAAGAATATTGAAAATACTAGAAGGGAAATCTTTACCACTATAATCAAATAGAATGTGTATACATGTTGTCGGGCTGTCAGTTCGCAGGAATCTGAAATCTCATTAATTCTTTATATATGTCGATTTCGAAAATTATATATATATATATATATATTTTTTATATATATATATATATATATATATATATATATATATATATATATATATTATATATTTATATATTATATTAAATATGTGTTAATAAATTTATTATAATTTCAAAAATGAATGTTCGAGGAATTAGATTTAAAATAACCATAGTAAAGTTTCTCTTTAGCTCAGATCTTTTAACTATTAAAAGTTGAAATCCATAAGGTTAAATACGACACAGGTTCGATTCCTGTCGGAGAAGCGCATATTTTCTACGAAATTCCATGAACATTCAGGCCGGTAAATGTAAATAATACTGTTTAATTAAAAACAGAGCAGTTACTTAAATAAATTGCATCTATTAAAATAACGTATAAAAAGAAAACATTAAATAATTGTGTGTATATATATATATATATATATTGTGTATTTTTCAGCAATCCCTCATTTATACATGTTTCATTGAAGACGACAGATAAGGTACTGCGATTAAGTTTTTTTTTTTTCTTGTGTTCGAACAAGTGTTCTCTTTTTCTAGACACTGTCCAAAATTTCTGTAATTCCGAGCGCTTTCAGCTATACTTTTAGCCATTATCATGGATGATTTTATTTTTAATTTTTAACTGGATGTACGAGTTGTGTGCATGTTTCTAAAGTTATACGGATATTTTATTTTCCGAACACAGTCAGCACATAATAGCCATGTTCGTAGTTAATATTAATGATCATTGGCTTTTCCCTTTTTATTATTAAGGCAAACATTATTTTGAATCGTATTTTTCTATGTAGATGAGATTATTATTTTAGTCTATTCTACTAGAATGATTCCGATGGAATCTGGTAAGTTTGCGTGTGTGTTTAAAGAGGTTCATATCTATCTATCCATCTATCTATCTATCTATCTATCTATCTATCTATCTATCTATGATTCTAAATATTTAGGCAACTCAACCTGACAGTCTTTCTTTTCTTCTTTCAATTTAATCATGTCTTCTGTCCCACCAACAAAGATTATTCGCGTTCTCGCTCTTCGTGAAATTGTTTGTAATTCAATGAAGTTAAAGCCTGCCTGTTTTAAAAAAATTTGCGATCTCTTGACACAGATGGCATCAAATGACGTCATCACTCGTGCACTCTCCAAGGCGCATGACGTCAAACAATATTCAAAATTCAAACCCTTCATCAGCATGTAAAAAAGATTCATAAGTTAATCTATTCTGATCGCAGAAAGAATATCTATCTATTATTTATCTATCTGATATCATCTATCTTATCTATCTATCTATCTATCTATGTCTGTTGGATAATCTAGGAAATTTTAACTTAGCAGGTGTTCTTTCTTTCTTCATATCTACTATCTATCTATCTATCTATCTATCTATCTATACATAATCTATCTATCTATCTATCTATGTCTGTTCATAATCTATCTATCTCAAAATTTTCATTCTCTCCAAATCTATCTATCTATCTATCTATCTATCTATCAATTATCTATCTATCTATCAATCAATAATATCTATCTTTATGTCTGTTCAATAATCTAGGAATTTAGCTAGATCTCATTCTCTCCATATCTATCTATCTATCTATCTAATGAAAATCTATCTATGTCTAATAAAATCTATATTAAAGAAAAGACTCATTTCTCCATATCTATCTATCTATCTATCTATATATATCTATCTATCTATATATATATAAAATATCTATCTATCTATATTATCTATGTCTGTTCATAATTATTAGCTATTGGAATTTCATTCTTCGATCCAATTCATCTATCTACAAATCTAAATTATCAATCTAGAAAAATCTATCTATCTATCTATCTATCTATGTCTGTTCAATATTCTATCTATCTAGCTAGTCTAGATCTTCATTCTCTCCATATCTATCTATCTCAACGTTATCTATCTATCTATCTATCTATCTATCTATCTATATATATATATATCTATTATATATAATCTATCTAGCTAGCTATTGCTCTCATTCAAACATATCTATCTATTATTCAAATATGTTTATCTATGAAAATAAATCTATCTATCTATCTATCTATCTATCTATCTATCTATCTATCTATCTGTAGAAGAATGTCTTTCTAGATTTTATATTTTTATTCTTTTCTGTTTTCAATTTTGCATTTCCTACATTTTTTAATTTGTTTTATATCTTTTTTTTTTCTTTTTCTTTCTTTATTTCTTTTTTTTTTTTTTTCTTTGATAATTTCTTTCTTTCTTTCTTCGGATAAGATTTCCTTCCTTCCTTTAAATGGATTTGTTTTTTTTTTTTATTTTTAATGATTTGTTTATTTCTTCCTTTTCAATTTTTTAATTTTAATTCTTTTTTATTTTCATTCCCTTATCTTGGGTTTCTTTCTTTCTTTCTCTCTTTCTTTCTTATATTTACACTTTCCATTCCGTCTTTTCTTTTCCTTTTTAAATTTCTTTTACACTTTTCTTTCATTTTTCTCTCCTTTTTTTTAGCAGCCATGTAAAAATAAAAAAAATAGAAATAACTTTAGATCTGATAAGCAATGATCATTAAAACTTTCGACAATCGTTTATGGTTGTGAACACCGGAGAATTTTTCCTGATCGAAGCGTCCAGACCCAACGGACATTGTGACGCTGGGTGTACATAACTGAACTTAAGGTATAAGTTTTTTAAAGTTCAAATTTTTTTAATTTTCAACGACGTTCCCGGTATATTAAATCAGTTAAATAAAAAAATTTCGTGTTTTTTTTTTATTGCTTCCATTAAAGTTAGTAATGAAAGCCACCGATCTAAAAATGTCTTATCTTACATAAACACACCTCGTCAAAACGTGTATCGACGCCGCGCCTGGCGCCATTTTTCTTTTGAAGCATGGCCCCTTAAATTGAAGGTGTGAGAGAAACAGCAGATGAGAAATAAACGTCCTTGATTGCTTTTAAATGCAACAACCTTCGACAAAAAAAAAAAGATATAAAAAATATATATATATATATATATATATATATATATATATATATATATAAATCAAATGGTAAAAAAAATTTATTACATTGGAATCAAGACGAAATACAATCGTAGTTTTAACTTAAACTATGATAAAGAACTTATTTTAACGACGATATATATTAAAAACGTTAAATAAATACAGAATAAAATATTTGACTAAATTAGATCATTCTGAATGCCGGTCACATAAAGTTCTCTATATTTACACACCCAAAATTGCAAGTTGACGTATGCTAAAGATTGAACCTGGAATGACGATCATTCATTTAGATTTGGAAATTTAAATCTTTAGAACTGTCTCTTTATAATTTTATTTATATTATATATATTTACAAATATTATATATATATATATATATATATATATATATATATATATATATATAAGTATTTATTTAAAAATATGATTCCAACACGCTACATAAGAGTTCTCATGTTTCAAAACAAGAGCCGAAAACTTCAATATAATTATTTGAATTAAATTGAATTAAAGTAAGCTCTGTTCCATCTTCAAGCGAAATTTTTTGGGAATAACTTATATCTGAAATTTACGCGTTTTATAAGCATATTCATTATTAAAATCAAAATATCTATGGTAACGGCTAGAGCAATTGTTTAAAGAAAAAGGGGCGTAAGGTGTTAATAATTTGTATCAATGTCTCAGTTACATTCAAAGACGTCAAGTCAGGGTAAGGTTGGTGTGTCTAAATTTAAAGCGGAAGATGACATCGTCTAGTCTGGTTAAGTGTCTATGGAGATTTATTTTTTTTTTTTATTTTTTTTTTTTTCTGAAAGGGTTTTGTGTATATAAAAACTGTCGTAAATTTGCTAACATTTGTTTTTTTGACGACTTCATAAAGGGTTATTTTTTTTTATATATATTTAAAATATTATTATATATAAAATAAATATATATAAAAAATAAATAAAATAAAATATAATTCATTAAATATAAATTATTAAATAGATATTAAATATAAATTTAAAAACTGAATTAATATTAATAAATAATAAATTTTTATTAAATATAAAATAAATAATATATTAAATATAAATTAAATAAAATATTCAATATAAAATAAGTCTTAAATAATAATACAATAATAAATAAGAAAATACAGTCCAAATTTAAAAATTGCGGATAAGTTTTAATATTTTATATTATTTTATTCACTATGATTGGATTAATTTATTTTGAATTATATTTATTTATATAATATACACACATACACATACACATAATAAACATATATATATATATATATATATATATATATATATATATATTTTGTTCGATAAAAGTGACTCACCTGATTTTTTTTACTAAATGTTCTCTTCTCCGATGAAACGAAAGTTGAGCTAAATTCAAAGGATAAGCGATCTAAAATCCGAAGAAGAAGCTTTGAAAGCTCTTTGAATTTAGCAGTAAGTACTGTCAAGCATCCGTTCAGTATAATGTTTGGGGATGCTTTTCTTTTCATGGAACTGGTTTCTTAAAACCTATTGAAAAGACCCTCAGGAGCGAGCAGTACAAGAGAATTTTAGAGTCTTGTCTGCTCCCTTCTGCTGAAAGGGTGCAAATCGACCCCACCAAGCTCATTTTTATGCAGGATAATGCTCCCTGTCACAAATCAAAATTGATGAAGGAATACTTTGATGAGAAGCAGGTGAGTCTTATGACATGGCCGCACCAATCTCCTGACCTCAATCCCATAGAAAACTTATGGAGTATTATAAAGTACAGGCTCTTGAGAAAGCAGCTGAGCAACAAAGAGGATTTGATTGTGAATTTCATATCCGAATGGAATTCAATGCTTGGAGATAAGATTTGCCAGAACCTAATCAAGTCAATGCCAAAAAAGGGTTGAAAAGGTTATTCAAGATAAAGGAGGACCCATAGATTATTAAATATTTCACACTATATTACCTATTATAAATAAATTATACCTCTATTATTCTTTATTTAAAGCTGTTTGGTTATGTTTCTATTGATTATTAGTTGCAGGAAATAAGTGAAAACTTTTTTTTTGCACAGAGTTTTTCCCTAAATCTCATTTATATCCAAAATTATAATTATCAATAGAATACCTTAGGGTGAGTAAACTTTTTTACTAGGTGGTTGGGAAGGGTCTTTATATTAGTAAGATTAAAAATTAGTTTGACCCCAAAAACAATAGGCGAAAAATTTTTTAATAAAAAAAAAATCAGGTGAGTCACTTTTTATCGAACAGCACTATATATATATATATATATATATATATATATATATATATATAGATTGATTATTTTATTTCAATTTATAATTACATGAATCATTCATAAACAAAAAAAAATATATAAATTTAATTTTTTTAAATGGCGAGAAGTTCATATATTACAAACAATTTCAATAAGTTACACTAACCGCGAACATGTATATGAATGATATGATCCCTGTTTATAAATTTTGTAAAAAATAAGGAGATTTTTTAGTTTTTCAAAATTTTTTTTAAATTATATACAAAACATTATAAATATGGAAATATAATTTGTAAATATTTTTTACTTATATAATAAAATACAACGAAAATATATAGATGTAATCCCGAAATGCTAAAAAGAAATTGTAAATTGTTTTTGGAAAATGCGGTCGTAATTAAATTTTGAGTTTGAATTTTAAATTTAAAGTTTGCGTTTTTGTACAAATATAGTAATAAGAAAATTTTTTGAAACTGGTAAAATTTTTCCGTCAATTGGCAATGAATATAAATAAAAATAATTACAGGAATTTTCACATTTATTATCCGAATTATTGCAATCTTGGATAATTTTATTTTAATTTCGATTATAACAAAGTTCATATTTATAATTATGAAATCATTTTGCTGAAAAAAAACAAATATATATATATATATATATATATATATATATATATATATATATATATTTACAATTCCTTTTAAATGTACATTTTCTGTGTTGTTTTTAAAATAATGTTGATTTTTTTTGAAAATGGGATTTTTTAGGTTTTTTAATTTTTTTTTTTTTAATATGAATCGTAATATTAAATTTTATATTTTTATTTTTTTCATTAAATTTTGTTTTTACAAAAAATAAATTTAAATATATATATATATATATATATATATATATATATATATATATAGATAGATAGAAAATGATAAAATAAATAGATATGGATTCATCTTTTTAATTGGCCGGTTAATAAAATTTAAAGAAGAAAATGCCAACAAAATGATTAACCAAGTTTTCATTAAAATAAAGATACTTTATTTATATATTAATCTTTTTGATTGATCTAAATTTTTGAAGAGAAAGATTTAATGTCGGATTTTACGAAAAATTTTGTGTTTTTTTTTCAACGATGAATAAAAATAAAAAAAATATGGGATTATTTTCTTATTGTTTAGAGGTATTTAATAAATTATATCATCTAAAATAAATTGTTTAATTTCTTTTTTAATCCCTGAATTTTTAAAATTTATTTTGAAAAAAAATTATTTAGAAATAAATTTTTCTGTTAAATGAAGACGCTATTTTTTTTTTTATCTGATGTCATTTTCTATGAAATGGTTGGTTGAAAAATGCAGCGACTTTGAAAATTTTGTTTATGTTGTTAAATATAAATTTTTTTATGGTTATTGAACCGAAGATGGAATACCATCCCATTTTTCCATCATTAATTAATTTTTTTTTATTTATTTGTGGCCGAAAAATAAATATATAAGATTTGAATTTTTACAATTTTATAAAACAGTGGTTTGAATAAAACTTTTATAGTTTTATTAAATTTATTATATTGATTCATTTTTACGTAAAAAAACTTATTTTATTTTGATTGAATTCTTTTTTCCACTGTTTTATTTCTTACGAACTTAATGTTGATTAAATTAAACTTTTTCTTTTATTCCAAATTAAACAAGAACCCAAATAAAATATGATAACAAAAACGCTTTTAATACGCCAAATACTTCCCTTACTATCTTGAGGAATATATTGTCATTTATTGCATTAACAGGTGAAAAAAAATGAATCCAAACGACATATACACACATAATTTTAAATAAATTTTTTTCATTTTAAAAGACAAATGAAAACCAACCATACAGAAATAAAAATTCTATTGACAGTTCTCTTTCGTTTTTTTGTTTCAAAGGAAAGTTTGATATGATGCTTAAATAAATTTGAAACCTTGTTATTTTTTTGAATCTGTAATGTTTCCTGTGTTTTTTTCCTCTCATTCTGTCGCATTGTAATCCATATTTGATCCCGACTGTAATGATCCTGTCTGAAAAAAGCCACTTATATTTTTAAAAACTAATTTAATTCTTTCAAAAAAAATATCTGGTCAGTAACTTTTCATAGGTCTTCTTCTTCTTCTTCTTCTTCTTCTTCTTACATCCTTCTTATTTTATTCTCTTCCAGGAATTCCTCCTCATTCCTCCTCCTCCTTCTTCTTTTTTCTTCTTCTTCTTTTTTCTAAAATTATTTCCATTTCTTCTTAAATATTCTTCTTCTTTTTTATTCTCTTATTTTTCCTCCTCCTCCTCCTAATTTAAATCCTCCTTTCTAATAAAAAATATTAATTTTAAAATCCTTTTAAAAAGAAAAAAATTCTTTTAAATTTTTCTTCTTTTTTTGAAATTATTACTATTATTTAATTATTTATTTTTTACTTACAAAAATCAATTTCCTAAATCTCAAAAAAATCCTTCTTCCGTTTATTCTTCTTCTTCTTCTTCTTCTTAAATTTTTTTTCTTTCTTTTTTCTTCTTCTTCTTATTATTATAAATTTTCTTTAAAATAATCCTCCTTTTTTTTTAAGTTCTTCAATTTTCCTTCTTCCTTTTTTTTTTTTTAACCTTTTTAAATTTCTTTTCTTTTTCTTCTTCTTCTTATTGATCCTTCTTCTTCTTCTTCTTCTTTTTTTTTTTATTATTTTAATTATTATTTATTTTACATCTTTTAAATTCAATTTTGTAAATTTTTCTTCTACTTCCGTTTTTCTTTTTTTTTTTTTAAAAAATCTTCCTTCTTCTTCTTCTTCTTTTCTTTTTCTTCTTCTGAAAATTTCATTCTTCTTCTTCTTCTTCTTCTTCTTCTTCTTCTTCTTTATTATTTATTATTATTAAATTTTTTTTTTTTTTTTATTCTCCTTAAATTTTTATTCTTCTTTTTCTTTTTTCTTCTTTTTTTCTTTTTTCAAAATTCTTCTTCTTCTTTTTGAACTGTTTCTTCTTCTTTTAAATATTTTTCTTCTTCTTCCATCCTTCTTCTTCTTCTTCTTCTTTTTTTTCTTCTTCTTTTTTTTCTTCTTTTTTATTATTTTATTTCTTCTTTTCTTTTTCTTTTCCTCCTTTTTTTTTCTTCTTCTTCTTCTTCTTTATTATTATTATTATTTCTTTTTCTTCTTTTTCTTCTTATTTTTCCTCCTTCATTCTTCTTCTTCTTCTTTTCTTCTTCTTTTTCTTTAATTCTTCTTTTCTTTTCTTCTTCTTTTCTTCTTCTTTCTTCTTTTCATTTTCTTTTCTTTTATTTTTCTTCTTTTTTCTTCTTTTTTTCTTCTTTCTTCTTCTTCTTCTTCTTCTTCTTTTTT